GACGCTCTCTGCACACTCAGTGACTTAACACAACCTTATGGCAAGTACTGGGGATGAGGTCCACAAGGATCCATGATGAGCAAAGACGGGGCCGGCCCCTTCCCTAGGAATCAGCAAGGGAATGAATCGTGAGGGACACGGCTTTAGGGATCCTCAGTCACACACAACCATGGCTCACACTGAAAAGTGCTACGTGAAGATGCAACAAGATAACACAAATCACTCAGGGAAGTCAGGGAGGGCTTCCCTGAGGAAGTGATAATTCAGCCAAGATCTGAAGCACAAATGGGAAGAATATTCCGGATAAGGAACAACACATGCAAAGCCCTGTGTGCAGGGACCTCAGTTAAAGGGACTAAAAAAGAGCCCAGAGAACGAGGAGGCCTGGAGGGGAGAGCAGTGGCTGGGGAATTTCAGTCTTTGTTCCTATTGGAGGTGATCATCCTTGCGTCCAACAAAGATCCCTTTGGCTGCCCGCACATGACGCTGTTGGCTGTCGGGAGAACACTGCTGTGGTGCAGGTGAGTGATGACGGTGTGGACGGAGAGGAGGGGACACTGGGCACCCTGTGTGGCCTTGCCGAGGCGCATCAGGAGCAGCCCCCACGCGTGTGGCTCACACTAGCTCTTGCACGTGGTGCTGCTGCAAGAGCAGCACGCGTGGGGTGTGGAAATCGCGGTGTTTCTACGTCAGCTAAGAGGCGAAGGCCATTTCCCATCGCATCAGGGGAGATGCGGCACCCTGGGATCTGTGTCAAGTGTGTTTCCGGGGAGCGCCAGAGCAGGAAGCTCCTTAGGGGCGGGCGAGATGCTCCTTACCTCCACTGCGGTGCTGAGTTCCCAGGCGTGGGTACGCAGCGTACACCGCTGTGCGCGTGCAGCTCCTGCTATGTCAGCTGTGCCTCTCGGACGCTGTCAGGAAGGCGAGTGGGAGGTGAGGACGTGGGGACACAGCGCCGCCGGCCCTGCGGAGGTGAGAACCAGGCAGGGAGTGGTGGTGGTGGGGGGCTGTGAGGGTGAGGGAGCTGGCTTCTGCTTTTGATTACAAGGCGATTTGGCTAACAGGAAGGAGGTGACGGAATATGCAAGAGAAAGAAGGGAGGACGAGAAGCACAGGTTTCCTAAGAGCGGGGGAAGGGGAGGGTGCCCAAAACTAGGGCGAGGGCTGTTCTGAGATGAGGGTGGCAGCCGCCAGGCTGGCTGGAGGGGAGAGAAGGGACTGGGTGGGGTGTGTCTGGGGGGGTGAGTGTGTATGTGGCAGTGGGAGACCAGAGATGGCTTCTTCTATCTCTGCCCCGTTGCAGATGGAGTCACTGCCGAGAATAAGGGCAGAGAAGCGTGGGGTTCAGAAGAGTGGCAAACGTTTGGAAGGTCCTCTAGCGGGTGGTTGGTTGCTAGGCGGTGTCCAAGGCTGCTCTAAGTGCAGGTCACAGGGTTTCGGGGAGGCCTCTGCCCAGGGCGGTGACAGTCTCAGCGGCATCTGGCTTTCTGGGCATAGTGGCCCAGGAGACCTACAGGGAGAAGGCGGGAGGACTCACAGCATGGACGAGACTGTTAGGGGAACCCCGTGCCTCCGCTCAGCAGTAAGGAGGAAGGACATGAAGAGGAAGAGGGCCATGGGCTGGAGTAAAGCCGAGGGCAGGAAGGGAGCTCACACAGTATGCGCAGGAGAGCACCATGTTGGAGTTGCGATTGCACAGCTGGGGCCGACCTGGCTGCCGGAGGGCCCCGTGAGGCTGTGCAGGTGGTGAGCGGGTGAATGGCTGGAAGAGTGAGTGTATTTATGTGACCGCCGTGCCACATCCTTCTCCACCTGACCCTCGGCAGCAGGATCCATCCACGTGGTCCTGGGGTTCCTTAGAAGGTCAGAATCAGGTGCGGAGGACTGAGGTCAGCTAGACCAGCTGCGCAGCCCATGTTGGAGGCCCTTGTTACAGTCTGAATATTTATGTCCTCTAAAAATTCACTCGAGGAACGTAAGCCCCGGTGTGAGGGTGCTGGGAGCTAATTAGGGTTGGACAAGATCATGAGGGCGGCGCTCGCCTTCCACCCTCCACGCTCACACACTCAGGAAGACTACGTGAGGATGCAGCAAGCAGGCCGCTGTTCGCAAGCCAGGGAAGAGAGCCCTCACCAGGGACTGACCCTGTCAGCATCTTGACCTTGAAGCCTTCAAAACTGTGAGAAATGCGTTTCCGTTGTTTAGGTCAACCAGGCTATAGTATTTTGCTATGGTAACTCGAGTCAGCCAGTACAGCCCCCTTCCTCATCTTCACAAAGGGCTTGCACCTACTTTCCCCTCTTTTTTAAAAATGTGTTACATTTATTTTTAATTTTTTAAAATTTATTTGAGAGGTAGATTTACACATAGTGACAGGGAGAGACAAAAAGGTCTTCCATCTGCTAGTTCACTCCCCAAATGGCCACAACGGCAGGAGCTGCACAGATTCAAAGCCAGGAGCCAGGAGCTTCTTCCAGGTCTCCCACATGGGTGCAGGGGCCCAAGTGCTCAGGCCATCTTCTACTGCTTTCCCAGGCCATAGCAGAGAGTTGGATTGGAAGTGGAGCAGCCGGGACTAGAACCGGTGCCCATATGAGATGCCGGCTCATATGGGATTAACCTACTGCGCCACAGTGCCAGCCCCTCCTTTCCCCTCTTGAAGGGGAGCTTTCCCAAGGTGGCCATTCATCCTGGAACAGCTCCACCTGAAAGCAGGGTCCTCTGCCTTTGGGGAGGAAGCCCACCCACCGAGGCTCCCACACAACTCTCCCAGCTCTGCCTTCCAGACCACACGCGAAACCAAGCCATTCTCTCTCCCCCAGGGTTTTCAGAAAGCGATCCTGGCCCTCCACTCCTTCGAGGTTCAGCAAGGACAGAGGCCACAGGTGTCGGTTTGTTTCCCCGTCCCGGCACCCTGCACAGCACCTGCCCTAGAGCTGAGACCTTAGATCTGTTGGTTGAGTGAACAGAGCTACTTTTCTCCAGGTTAAATATTTCTGGTTCCTTTACCTGTAGCTCCAAGAGTGCAGTTTCAAGCTGCAGTTTTCCCCATTCTCTTTACCTACCTACCACGTATGTATGCTCATTTTTCAGACACAGAATTTTTGTTCTTGTATTACCATGAAGTGTTGGTTCCTATAGCTTGATGCAACGTCAACCATGCCTCCTCCACTGTCTCCTCTCCTGGGCTCCCTGCCTTCTCTTCCCACTGTGACTCCTCAATGGAGGACGAGCGTTGTGAGAAGCAAGAGAAGGGAAGGACAAGCTCACACTCATCCACTGCTGCTGTCCCAGAGGTGCTCCTTGTTGCTCAGAGGAGGCTGTGGATAAGGGAGAGGAAAGGGGGTGCGGGTGTTCAGGACCAGAGCTTGGGGGGGACCTGGGATGCTGGGTCACAAATCCCAGTCTCCCCACTGCTGAGTTTGGGGCCCTGGGCAGACAGCGACCCCTCTGAACTTGGTCTTCTCACGAGTGAGTAACACCTGCCTCCCCTGGTAGATTAACGTGGTACCCGAGCCAGTGCGCTCAGCAGTGTGCCCAGCACGGGAGCAGATGACGATGATGGAGATGGGCAGGCAGCGGGTCCTGCAGCAGAGGGTGAAGGCATCTCTGGCCCAGGAAGCAAGCTTCCAAGCGGGGCTGGGTCCCTGACTGGGCGGTCACCTTGCACAGGCCATGGCAGTTCTCTGAGCCTCTTGTTCCTGCAGAAACCATCTCCATGGCACAGAGCAACAGACCTGCTCGCGACGCCTGCATCCCAGGTCAGAGCGCCTGGCTGCACGGCCCAGCCCCACTCCTGCCTGATCCCAGCTTCCTGCTAGCGCGCACTCTGGGAGGCAGCAGGTGGTGGCCCGTGCTTAGATCCCTGCCACCCCCGTGGGAAAACCGTGTAGTGGTCTGGGCTCCTGGCCACATCTCTGTGGGGTACCAGTGATGGCATACTGGACTGTCACACTTTACAGCAGGGGACCAGTCCCCAGGAGGGATCCGATCTCCCTGTTCAAAACACTTCTCTCTTCCTCCTCCCCTTCTTCCGCTGCCCTCTTCCTTTGTAGCCATGTTAGTCCCAACCAGTCGAACCTGCTGCTGGACAGACCTGAGAAGGCACCTAGTGCCTGGCCTGTGGTAGAAACTGGAGAATGTTGAATTAACAAATGAATGCTGTAGTATAAAACTCAATCCTGGGGCAGCTGTCGCCTGCAATGCCGGCATCCCACATCCCCGATTCTAGTCCCGGCTGCTCCACTTCCAATCCAGCTCTCTGCTATGGCCTGGGAAAGCAGTAGAAGATGGCCCAAGTCCTTGGGCCCCTGCATTCATGTAGGAGATCCGGAAGAAGCTCCTGGCTCCTGGCTTCAGATCTGCACAGCTCCAGCTGTTGTGGCCAGTTGGGGAGTAAACCAGTGGATGGGAGACTTTCTCTCTCTCTCTCTCTCTCTCTCTGTGTGTGTGTGTAACTCTGACTTTCAAATAAATAAATAAATAAATAAATCTTAAAAAAAAAAAAACCCTCAATCCTTTTTATTTTACCTAAATCAAAAGCCAGGAGCCAGGAACTCCATCCAGTTCTCCCACGTGGATGGCAGGAGCCCAAACACTTGGGCTATCTTGGGCCATGCCTCCCCGGGCACATTTGCAGGAAGCTGGATCAGAAGCAGAGCAGCCGGAGCTCAAACTCGCACTCCAGTATGAAATGCCAGTGTCCCAGACGGCAGCTTAACCCGCAGTGCCACAACGCCTATCCCCTGTGAACATTTTAAACTTACAAAATAGACACATATTGATTCTAGAAAGCTAATTAGAAAGTATAGTTATTCCAAAAGAAAATATCGCCATCCCATGCATTCCTACCATCTAGCTACAACCATTGGTACTAATAACTTGCTAGAAATGACCTTCCAGGCGCTCTTCTAAGTAAATCCATTTAAACAGCAACTGAAGCATGGTTTTTGGTAATAGGCTTTCTTTTTTCTTTTCCTTGATAATACTCTGGATGGATGATTGCTTCTCAGCCTCTTGGCAAAGATCAAGTGTAAAATTGTTCTTACTGGTTTAATATCTGATACATCTTTTATCCAAGGACAATATAGTAACTGGATTTTTGGAGCAAGTAGTTGGAGTGGGTGTTTGCTCCATCGACTCCACGCACCGAGCTGGTATTGCAGTACCTCCAGGAACAGTGCACCCCCGTGGGGGAACACAAAAATTAGCAATAATATTCTAGATGTCTGTGTCACCCAGAAATTCTTCTGAAGTATTGTTAGATTTTCAGCATTTATATGGTATTCTGTCATGACTGTTCCATGAGCAAATCACTAATGCTGAACATGTAGGCTGTTCTGATGTTTTCCAAACATTTATGTGGTGTTGGCCATTGTGGTGTTCTAAGAGCTTCCTATCTGTTAACTCATTTCATCACTACTGCAACCTAATGAATTAGATACTATTACTGCCCCTGTTGTAAAATTAAATCCAGAGAGAGTAAGTGACTCGTCTAAGATCATACAGGTAGTGAATTAAGTCACAGGCCTGCTTGAAATCTGGACAAACAAGGATCTGAGGCTCTGGGCATAACCCCTACACGCTGCTGTATCTCGGTGCTTCTAGGGAACGTAGCCGTAGCTCCATCCTTGTGCACATCCTTAGTCATGTCTTTGTTCTAAGTGGAATGACTGGGTCAAAGGATACGCACATTTGACAGTTTAAAAATTCTTTTTAGGGGCTGGCTCTGTGGTTTAGTGGGTGAAGCCACTGCCTGGGACGCCGGCATTCCATATGAGCACCAGTTTGAGTCCTGGATGCTCCACTTCACATCCAGCTCTTGCTAATAATGCACCTGGGAAAGTAGCACAAGATGGCCCAAGTGCTTGGGCCTCTGCATCCACATGGGAGACCCAGAAGCTCCTGGCTCCTGGCTCCTGGCTTCAGATCAGCCCAGCTCTGGCTGTTGAGGTCACTTGGGGAGTGAACCAGCAGATGGGAGGCCTCTGTCATTCTGCCTCTCCCTCTCTGTCTCTCTGTAACTCTGACTTTCAAATAAATAAATAAATCTTTAAAATTTATTAATTTTCATTTTATTTGAAAAGCAGAGACATACAGAGGGAGAGACTGACAGACAGAGATCTTCCATCCGCTATTTCATTTGCCAAATGGCTGCAACAGCTAGGGTTGGGCCAAGCCAGAAGCCAAGAACTCAATCCAGGTCCCCCAGGTGGGACCCAGTTACTACAGTCCTCAGCTGCTGCCTCCCAGGGTGTGCACTGGTAGGAAGCTGGACGCGTCTGAAGCTCTTAATGCCACAACAAAACCAAAACAAAAACTGCGATCCAAACTCCCTCGTGTTTGCACTCTCCAGCTCTCTCACATTTCACTGTCTCCTACTCTCAGCGGCCATACTCTGCTGGTCCAAGGATCTGGGTATGTCGGGAAACTCCCACACCACGTGCTCACTGTCAAGTCTGTTGGGGAGGTTGAATAGGAGTGATTATTTCTCTTTCCCAATTTCCCCACAGCTTTATTATCATTTTGTAATTAGAAAAGAAAGCATTTAGGGACAAGTGCTGTGGTGCAGCGGATTAAAGCCCTGTCTGCAGCACTGGCATCCCATATGGGTGCTGGTTCGAGTCCCAGATGCTCCACTTCCGATCTAGCTCTCTGCTGTGGCCTGGGAAAGCAGTGGAAGATGTCCCAAGTGCATGGGCCCCTGTACCTGCATGAGAGACCTAGAAGAAGCTCCTGGCTCCTGCTTTGGCCTGGCCCAGCTCGGGTCATTGCGGCCATTTGGGGAATGAACCAGTGGATGGAAGATCTTGCTCTGTCTCTCCCTCTCTCTGTCTGTAACTCTGCCAACTCTGTTTCTCAAATAAATAAATAAATCTTTATTTTATTTTTGTATTTTTTTAAATTTTTTTTTGACAGGCAGAGTGGACAGTGAGAGAGAGAGAGAGAGAGACAGAGAGAAAGGTCTTCCTTTGCCGTTGGTTCACCCTCCAATGGCCGCCGCGGCCGGCGCGCTGCAGCCGGTACACCACGCTGATCTGATGGCAGGAGCCAGGTGCTTCTCCTGGTCTCCCATGGGGTGCAGGGCCCAAGCACTTGGGCCATCCTCCACTGCACTCCCTGGCCACAGCAGAGAGCTGGCCTGGAAGAGGGGCAACTGGGACAGAATCCGGCGCCCCGACCGGGACTAGAACCCGGTGTGCCGGCGCCGCAAGCGGAGGATTAGCCTAGTGAGCCACAGCGCCAGCCCAATAAATAAATCTTAAAAATAGAAAGAAAAAAAGATGCCTGCATCCCACATCAGGGTGTCTGGGTTCAATTCTCTGTTCCGGTTGCTGATCCCAGCTTCCTGCCAAGGCAGATCCTGGGAGGCAGCAGTTGGTGGCTCAAGAAGCTAAGTCCCTGCAGTCATGGGGGACGGGGACCTGGATTGAGTTCCTGGCTCCTGGTTTGGACCCTGGCCCAGCCCTGGGAGTGAGCTGGCGATGGGAGCACTGTGTGTATGTGTGTGTGTATGTGTGTGTTTGTGTATGTCTCTCTACCTCTTTACGTGTCAAGAAAATATTTAAAAAGCCTCCCCAAAAATTGTACTTACAATTTTGTCTCCCAGTATTTGATCTGGAGCTTAGCAAGGCCAGAAAGGCGCAAGTCTTTGTCGAAGTCTGTGTTTTCTCCACAGCCCCTGTGGCCGGCGGTGTATGGGAGTCAGAAGTGGGGCCCTGATGCCAGGCTGCCTGCAGCTGAATGCCCAGCTCTGCCTCTTCCTCTTGCAGCCCGGGTCCCTCTCCTGTACCTCAGTCCCCCCTTCTGTAAAACAAGGATCCGAATGCCTCTTTCTGGAGCTGTTGAGAGTTAATCCATGAGCGGTGCTGAGCACAGGGGGCGCCCAGCGTGCAGTCCACCATCAACAAACAGAAGCTATTGTTTTCAATATAGTGGGGAGATATTTTTAGCCCCAATTTGTAAATTCAGTTCTTAAAACAAGTAGCTGAAGTGGTGCATCTATTAACCCAACTTTAAGAAAGCCTGAGCTCTGGCCGCAAGGAGATCTAGGAATGGTAAGTATCTACAGCTACCGCACACCGTGCATTGTCCATGAGGAGGCATTTCGCACACTTTGGATGGCGTCATCTTTGGCATCACTTAGCGCCCAGCAAGTGTGGCACACAGAACATCCTGAATCATGACAGTGCATGGAGATTCTCGTCCTCACGTAGATGAGTCAAAACCTGAGACCTGCGGGGCTGAGGGGACTCGTCCACACTCGCAGTGTTTGGGCTGGGACTGAGTGCACTGTGTGCACTTGTCTCTCAGGCACGTTTCAGAGGAGTCAGGCGCTTGCTCAAGGTGTCAGTACAGTTTCTCGGCTGTCCTGCCACCTCCTCGAGCAGTCTTGTGGATTTCCCAGGATTCAGGCCTGGGACGGGACCTCTGCAGTCACTGGACGTTCCACGAGGATGAGCAGGGGAGCAACTTCCTGAGTGTCAAAGACCACACACGTGGTGCCCAGAAGGCCAGAATCCCAGGCTGGAGCTCAGAAGTCTGTCTCTGCACACCCCTACCTGCTCCCCCTCCACTCCCCACCCCTCCCCAGTACTTCCCTCCCTGCCCCTTCCTTCTGGTCTTAGCCGGACGGGAAGGAGCTGTTCCCGTTTGCTTCAGGAAGCAGCTCACAAAAAGAGACAGTTCCACACCTTCCTTCCCCTGCCCCTCCTCTCCCCACCCCTGCCCCTAGTGAAAGTGGGAGCACTACTGATCACCATGACGATGCTGACGGTTTCTGATGGCAGCCTCTAAGCTGGCTGCTATCACAGGTGGGGAAACCGGGACTCAGAGTGGGCGGGTCGTTTGCTCAAAGGTCTGTAGTGAAGGGGCCCTAACCAGATCCCAGTCTGACCGCAGAGCCCCTGCTTCCGTCACTGTCTTTAACTGCAAGGTAAATGTTGGAGCCAGGGACACCGTGGGCAGAAGGACCTGGAGTGCTGCAGCTTCAGGGGCAAACGGAGCCTGGAAGTGGAATCTGGGACGTGGTTCTGAGTCGTGGCTCATCCCTGCTGCCTGGATGACTTTGGGCAGATGGCTTACCCTCTCTGTGCCTTCAGGGAGTTCACGTGTGCAATAGGGCGAGACTGAAGAGGCCCCCGCAGCCGCCTCTGGGCTGTGTGAGGATGGCGGGAGGAGGCCAGCAGGAACTGGGAAGACCCCTGGGTGCTGAGTGAGGGAGCAGTCAGGACCCACCTGGGCCCCGCTGCCAGTTTGTGGTCTCGACTCTGCTAAAAGGATTTGTCTAACGTGAAGGTTACCTCTGCCCAAAGTTAGGTGTCCGTGAAAACAACCCTGGGGAGGAGAAAGCATCTAGAAAAGATTTCTTTAAAAGGGAAAAGAAGAGGGGTGTGCGTTGGCCTCAGCGGTTGAGACAGCTGATCAGGATGCCAGCATCCAGGTTCAGAGGCCTCATTCTGCTCCTGGTGCCTGCGGGGCAGCACACGATGGACTGAATAGTTGGGTTCCTGCCACCATGAGTGAGACCCAGATTGAGTTTTAGGTGTCTGGCTTTGGCCCTGCCCATCCCTGGCTGTCGCAGGCTTCTGGGGAGGGAACCAGCGGGTGGGAGCCTTGTCTGTCGGTTTCTTAAATAAATAAGTGTTTCAAACGCGGGAAGGAAAAGAGCACCACGCTTCAGGCTGGCAGCTCTGGGTTTGCTCTGGACCTGCGGTCCCCCAGGGTGGGAGGCAGCCTTCTGTGCCAGCCTGAGTCGCGCTCTGGGCTCTTCATGGCCTCGGTCTCGTAATCTGCACAATGAGAGCACTTTGCACGGAGTCTCTCTGACACACCTGCACTGGCACGCCCCTTACGGTCACTCAGGCCCCATGTCCCCCTCAGTTCTTGTCCTGGCGCCGCCCCAGGCCCACCTCACCGTCCAGGTCTCCAGATTCAGGCCTCAGTGAGGACGCAAGGGATGGGCGCCCAGGTGGGCAGAGGACGGGGTGGGGGGGCACAGTGCCACAAGGACAGACTGCTCCCTCCTTGGCCCCTCTGTCCCCCCCTCAAGTGGCGTGGGGGCCTGGCCTGAGATCAGAGGCCCACCCGCGTCAGCCTGGGCCCTGCCCGCGTCAACAGGCGCCTTCTCAGCGCAGAACAATGCCGGCCCTTTGAAAGGCTGGGCAGCAGGGGATGGGTGTTTCTCCAAA